TTTAGCAAAATGCAATAAAAGCGGAGTCAGGCGAAGAACAGTAGAAGTGCCAAAAGTTGTGTATGGAGCTCACTTTGGTGCCAAAAGTTTCAAACGGATCACTTAAGTGCCAAAAGTTTACGCCGGTGATCACTTAAGTGCCAAATCGGAGAAAAAACGATCACTTAAGTGCCAACGGCGAGAAATTCCGATCAAATTTAATACGTGGCTTTTATATTTAAATTTTAATGACACGTGGCATTTCCACGTGTATAATTCAATTTTTTAAATATTTTTTTCTGATTTTTTTTCTTTCTTTTCTTTTTTCTTTTCTTTCTTCTTCTTCTTCTTCTACCATGGCCGGTGGCCAGAGGCCAGCCACCGGCCAGGGCCGGCCTCGCCGGGTGTCGCCTTCCACCGGGCGAGGCCCGGCGAGGCAGTCGTGGCCTCGGCGAGGGCCGGCCTCGCCGGATCTGGCGAGGCGAGCCCTTGCCAAGGCCACAGCGGCCTCGCCGAGGCGTCACCTTCCTCCGGGCGAGGTAGAAGAAAGAAAAGGAAAGAAAAGAAAAAAAGAAAAAAAAGGAAAAAAAAAAGAAATGAAATGCCACATCAGCCTCCGGTGAGCCACATCAGCTTGAGAAATTAATAAAAAAATACCATGTCGGATTTCCGGCGATGTGGCACTTAAGTGATCGTTTTTCACAACTTTTAGCACTTAAGTGATCCGTTTGAAACTTTTGACACCAAAGTGAGCTCCGTACACAACTTTTGGCGCTTCTGCTTTTCTTCTCCCAAGCGGAGTCTGGTGAAGATGGGGTTGAGGATAGAGAGAGGAGACTAAAACTGTGTCTTGCCGTTGTCGTAATCGAGGAGAAAACAAGAGATTTTTAGATGCTTCCTAACGTACAGACAAGACGGGTCCGAAGCCGGAGTACACGCCCTTTCTCTTCCTTCTTCCTCTGGAGATTATAATTGGGGGACTTGTCTCAGGATGTAAACAGGAGAATGAACCATGGAAGGCAAAATTTACAACTTCCCAAAACGTAATATGATCTAACAGCAATTCTAACTTGGCTTGTCGGGCCTTTTCCTTTAAACTTTTTTTGTGTCACTTTTTATTATTTCGTGGCATGCCTAAAAGTTAAATCATATTTTCAGAAATTTTTAATAAATTTTCCTTTTTCTAAGTCTGTTCTTGATGAAACGATACATCAATGAGAAGTTTATCTAATAGCATATTTGTCGTTCCAAAGAAGACCTTCATTTACCGATCCACTCGTTGCAAGACTTAATGCAACACTTTATGGCACCATGATTCCGGAGGATCTAGTTACAGGAGAATTATCGATCTACTTAAAAACCAAATGTCGAAGGATCAAATCCAATATAGTGTGATTGTCTGAAAATTTCATTATTCACATTGGATATGTGCCTTGGTATCCGATGTAAGCCTAGTCCAAAAGAGAGATGGCTTTTAGAGTTTGAACAAGATTTTGTGCTTAACCTTTGTAGTTAGCTCATTTTTGCTCGTAAATCCAAGAAGCAAAAACAATGTAGAGTCAATGCAGTTGACTCAATGACTTAGAGAAAGAATGGTATTTATTTATGCTTATAAATGCTTTTACCATTATGGAATGGGTTAATATCACGAAAAACTTTAAACTGGTACACTTATGATAAATTTACTTCAAACTAATTTTTTGACAACAAAAAACCCCAAATTGGTACACTTGTGATAAATGTACCCTCCAGTAAATTGATTTAATACCACGAAAAATCACAAATTGATAAATCAATAACAAACAAATGGGTAAAATCCCAAACTGGCACACCCGTCAAATGCCACATATCATCAAACTCAGCAATTTGATAGTAAAATTTAACGGAAACTAATAGAGAGTAAATTTGTGTCAGGTATACCAATTTGAGATTTTTTGTGGTCAAAAAATTAGTTTTAGATAAATTTGTCTTATTGGGGTTTATTGCGGTATTAACCCTTATGGAATAAGAGTGGATGGGGATATTTTTTACCACAATCAATCGCATTATGTGAATATCTCACTCACAATCTGATGTGCCTCCACCTATGACAAATGTCAATGCACGAAATTCCCTTGACCCTTTATTTTTTCTTTCATTAATCACTGCAAACTGTTACAAGAATATTCCCTGCCAAATCCACTTTACTTTTTACGAGTATTAATTTAGTTGACTTTATTTTTCGTTATATATTTCTTTATTACAAGAATCAAAAGGAAGTGCTTCGAATCCTTCTTTCCTTGTTTTGACAATTACTGAAAGTCCACTTATCAATCTATGCATTAAATTTAATTACTCCACATTGACTCCATATAATCCCTGTTTTTTTTTGTTTGATTATTTTTAGTTTTTGTAGTTCTTTGTATATAAAAGTAGAGTTGCCATGAGGACGAGTGTCAAGTCAACAAAAAAAAAAGACTTAAACTCTTTGTTATTCTTTTAATAAAAAGATATAAAAATGTAATTATCAAAGGATTCCACCAAACGAAATGATTCGAGTCCCTTTTTCTTCTTTTAGCAAAGAGCGCGATCCTATTTTACCAATTTTTCCATCAATTACTCTCCATAAACTCCACTTTTTAAAAAAAAAATTTTTAGTCTATCCTATTTCTAACTCTCCTCACTCTCTAATTTTTGTTTTGCCTCTTATAGAGCAAAAGGAGTCGAACCCTGCATCTGTAATACTAGCATCCCCATCCCTAATCCCTTTATCAACTGGGCCACATGCCCATTGGCACTTTTTGCAAGTTTTAAATGCATTTTAATTGCAGCACAATTTTTTTTTCCTTTTTAGTAAAAAGTGGAAATCTAATAATACATGCTATACAATCTTTGTATAATCCACCTTTGATAGGTACATGTTAGACTTCTTCCTTTTACATCTTCAATTTACATCTTTAACCATGGATTGACTTAGTCATTGTTTGAGGGACACACATGTATGACCTCTAACTGTCAAATGCAATCGATTCTGTGTAGAAGTTGTTTCAATTTCAAAATCTTTCATAACACATGAAGTTATCAAAATACTTTTAAGAAATTGACTTTTAATCACACTAGTTTGGAGTTCCTCATCATAGTGAAAAGGAAACAAAAACACAAAACAAGAAAACTACGTCAAACTGCTATTTAGCTATATATTCATGTCGAGACGAGCCGTACTGAGTGTGGCTACCTATCATTAGTCGCATACACATTTCGAGAGAAACTATGAGTGTCGATCAAGGCATTTATCGAAATGGGGCAGCCCTGAGGTGAACATGAACCATACTAGGCCTTTGCCTTGACTACCGACCTACACCCTATTTTTTGCCGTCTCTCTCTCTCTCTCTCTCTCTCACCTCATGCGGGAGCTGGTATGACCTTCGGTAATGCCTATGAGGTCGCCCCTATGGCAACCTTAATCTGAGGTCGTCATCAGCCATGGACAACCTGGATTTGAGGTCGTGCAAATTGGGTGAGCTCGAATTGAGGTCGCGGACGCCTTGACAATCGAGACCTGAGGTCGCCATGCCCTTTCACGATCCTTACAAGAGAGAGAGAGAGATGGTGGGCTTGCGCCGGAGAGCAATGCCACAGTGCCTGTGATAGGCAGCCTTGTTCGACGGGTGCGAGTGGTGGTGGCTGCAAGAGACTGGGCTTTGGAGATTTGCCATGGCTTTGTGGTCGATCAATTTAGAATTAAGGTGATTTTTTTTTATAAGGGAGGGTAATTTGGTTCTTTAAATAGTGTGGTTTGTCTTAAGATGCAGAACGGTATTGTAAAAAATAAAGGAGATAAAGTGGTAATAGAGTGAAAATTTGAGGAGGGTATCTGGTATTTTTACTTTTAAATAAAGTATCATAGTACATCTCAATTTTCATTTTGTGCATTTCTCGTTTTCATCTTTTTCTATTTAAGTTAAAAATTCCAACTATTAATTTCATTGGTTGCTCGTAATCATGCGATTCTTAGACTTTACTCGTACTTTCAATCTTTGCTTATGTGACTGTTAATATATGAATAGAAGTACCACATCATTAATGAAATTGCTTAGAGTTGAGACACTAAAACTCATTAATAAAAATGATTTGCCAATTAATATCCAATCACCTTATAAGATTTTTTTTAGGATTAATACCATGTAAAATCATAAACCAATACACATGTGACAAATTTGCCACAAACTAATTTTTTAACCATAAAAAACCCAAAACAGGTACAATTATGACAAATTTACTCTTTGTTAGTTTTCGTTAAATTTTACCGTGTACCGGTTTGTAGTTTTTCGTAGTATAAATCCAATTTAACGGAAACTAACGAAGGGTAAATTTGTCACAAATATATCAATTTAGGGTTTTTTGTGGTAAAAAAAATATTTTGGGGGTAAATTTATCACGTGTAAACTAATTTGGGATTTTCCGTGATTTTAACCCTTTTTTTTAACAATTATGAAAACTAAGTCTATAATTCTAGCTCTATCCATTTTCACAGCAAAAGCATTGCCGACAACCTTGCTTGGAGAGCTCTTTCTTCACGTACTTATGTTTATATTGATGTTATAATTCTATTTCTACCAAAAAAAGTAAGTCAACAAAACTAATGTTCTTATAAAAAGACTCAAAAAGGTGTGTTTTCAAGTAAAAAGGGATATGCCAATAGGCATGTGGCCCTGCGGATAAAAGGATTAGGGGGATAGGGATGCTAGTATCACAGGTTCGGGGTTCGACTCCCGCGCTTTGTAAGAGGCAAATCAAAAGTCAGATAGTGAGAAAAATTAGAGATAAGACAGACAAAAAAAAAAGTAAAAAGGGTATGAAAATAGTTTCACCGGAACGCCAACTCTTATACCCTTTGGGTCCGTTCACGAATTACATAACTCGTATTCATCATCTTGACCACCAAACACATATAAGTCTGATCAAACTAACAATACAACCCATATTGATTAAACTACCTTGGTCAATTTATTGCACGGGTCCCATAACCTACAACAATTAACCCTACGAAGTCTGGCAAGAAACGGGAGGATCGACCGAGGTGAAAGTGGCATTGACGACGTTCTTGCACTCGGCATAGCTCTTCTCCCCTGGTTCTGCAGAGTTGAGGTTGATGTGGTCCAGCACGATGTTCGTGCAACCCGTCCCTCTCGCACACATCAGGGTGATCGATGGCTGGTTCCACGAAGTCCCTCTCACATTTCGATACGTCACGTCGCTTACCTTCACCACCGGCGATGCCACCTGCAATCAGGGTTCGAATGAGACGCATCGCAGATTACGAGTTCTGGTGTGTCTTAATGCTCTTTCCATAGGTAAATTTATGATTCCAATTATATCCCTAATGAGCCATGCAAGCATTTCCTGGAAGCATGGTGTTTACCTTGCAACTACGCTTTTGATTATCGCAATAGTTCTGGTCGATTATGATCGGGTTTTTAGCCTTGGAAATGATGATATCTTCGAAATGGATACCCCTAACATAGCCAGATCCACCCTACACGATATGAAATAAAGATGATTAACCTCAGTATAAAAGAAAATAATGCAAATTAATACAATCATGAATTTGCGTGTTATGAGTATATTGTGTTATGCCTAGATCTGTAAAACAGGTGGGTCGGATCGGGTCGGGTTTTAATCGGGTCGAAATGGTTCGACTCAAATAGACCCATTTAACCCATTTTGACCTATTTCCCTGTAATGAAAATCTAATGATCTATACCCGACCCAACTTTTACCCAATCCATACCCGACTCGACCCATATTACTAAAACACTTTTGTATTTAACTCAATTTATGAAAACTCATACCTAAACTGAGATGAGAGTGCGGAATAAGTGAGCGTGAAATTGAGTGAGGGCGAGAGAGATGAGTTGAGTTTAAATAAGTCGTAAACCCATTTACGATCCATTTAACACTTATATTATGTTTATACCCATTTAAGACCCATTTACTAATATATAGATTAAAAAATGGGCTTATGACCCATTTTGACAAGTCTAATTATGCCTAATGTCGTTATTAATTAGTAATGTATAACAACCAACCTCCCATGTCTTGATCCTCACACCATTTTGAGCTGATTTGATCACGCAATTTCGAACATTGACTTCTTCCACCGTGTCGTATGCTCCTTCGTATCCAAGGCTTCCTATACTGCAATTGATTCATATGATGCACTCAACTCAGTAAGAAAAAGACTTCAGTAATGCCATTGACAAAAGGGCTACCAAATCACATTTTTGAAAGGTTACAATCGTAACACTAAAGCACCATTTATATACTTCGTTTCGATTGTTTGGCAATCGCCTGTTTCCGATACATGCGGCGTGGTTTGTATACGGGATTTATCCCGACTTTATACACAGCACGCCGAATGGCGGGCCGAGGATTCTGGGTTTGAAGTGCAGAATATACGAAGAATTTATGGGGATTTATCGTATGAGGGTGAATGGCAAACCTAATTCCATGGCCGGGCCCACATTTAACGCCGGCGATGTCGATGAACGAGGTCCCGCCCTTGATGGAAATGCAGTCATCACCTGCACGCGATGTCGTTAGATCATCAGGGTAGTCGGAAAGTCGGCAGAATGGAGGAAATTTGAGCAACAAGGCTTCGTTTATTTCGCGTTAAATAAACGATTTGAAAACATTATCCCGACAAACGATCACTCGCATCACTTACGAAAATGGATAGACGAAAATTAAACATTTCCCACGTCCACGAAAAATGGTCAGACAAAAATCGGTGTTGGTAATGAAAACGTTATCCATCGACTGATTATTTCAATCAATATGAGCGATCATATCGGGATTTTACCTGTTCCGATGGTGGAGTCAAGGATTTGGACGTAGCTCGAGGCAGCAATGGCGATCCCGTCGGTGTTGGGGCTTTCGTCAGGGGCTTCGATTTGGAGGGCGGTGAGCTTTACAGAAGTGCAGTTCTGAATTCTTATGTGGGCTCTTGGGCTGTCCACACTGGTGAGCCCACTCACTTGAAGGTTCTCCATTCTGAAGAAGGTCATCCCCTGCAAAAATTTCACCCCCATGAAGAACACAAGAGAGTAAAAAGAAAGAAAGAAAGGAAATTCCGGATGCCACCGGAGGTGCCCCGTGGGCCCGATGCGGCGCGGATTTCAACTCCGGCCCGGAACAACGGCATTAAAGCGAGGTCCACATTATCAACGGTTATGATGGATCCGGTCATGAACGGTCTGTCGATTATATGGACGGCCTTAGGAAGCCATGTAAATGCAATCCGACCTTGGGGCTTGTTTTGCAAGCGTGGTCGTTGTCATCACGGGGAAGGAGGCGGGAGTGCTTGGCTCTGCTCCACCAAACTTGACCACGGCCGTCGATCACTCCTCTCCCACGCCCTTCCACCGTCAGATTGGCGATCTCTGAAAAGTAAATCCAGCTCCCAGATCTGCAGTTTTGCCAGTCCTCTATCCTGCTGGGCGCTATGATCTTCCCCAAAACCTGTTAATTACAATTAATTTTTAAGATCACCAAATGGATAGATAGATCAATGAAGCTATTGGCCAAGATTGCTGGGAATCGCGAAATTCAATTTTTTTCCACATTTTTTTTTTTGTATTCGGGACAAGTCGGGGAGGAACAATCTAACGATTACCCGATCTAAAGTTGACCATCTCATATTGATCGAGGAACAATCTAACCAAAATTAACCTAGCAGGCGATTGTAATTTCCATGATATCGAGAATGGCTGTGACAACATCCCCCTTAAATGTACGTAGACAACTTGAATAAAGTGCAACCTCATAAACTAAAAACGTTCATAGTTCAATAAAAAAGTTCGAATAATAGTAAAAAAAAAATAAGACAATCGACCTTTTTCATGGTAATATGTGGCGATTTCTTTTCGTCTTACTTATTTATTTTTTTACCCAAATACCTGAATTTTGATGTCTGAGGACTTGCAAGGGCCAAGAAATTGGAGGGGACGGACTAAGAACGATTTATCAGCAGGGACAAGTAGTGTTGGATATTGTCCTGCTTTGTCACCTTGACATGCTGCTTCCCACGCTTTCAAGAAGGCCTTTCAATACCCACCAAAAAAAAAACATTTATTAATGCGTCGTTAATGTAATATAAATTTTAAAAAAACAAACCAAGAAAAAAAAAGGAAGAAAAATAAAGCAAATGATGTAGCTTTCATTCAGTGTCTTTTTAGGGTTTGATAGGTATTACAAAGGGAAAGAGATGATGGGGGATCGAACTTACGACCTCTTGGATCTTGATAGTGTATTACGAGTATCAGATCCATGCATGCACGCACGCACGAGGAATGTAAGGATTTTAGGGGACTTACACCGGAATCATCGGACTGACCATCTCCTTTGGCACCGTAATTCAACACATTCAGGACGCCGGGGTCATCTCCATATGCATCGCGAGCTCCAAACGCCGTCAAGGCTACACCAAAAATCACGACACTAGCCAAAAATCTCTGTAGAAATCAGAAAAAACAAAAGATTCCATTCAGCGAAATGCAAGAAAGGCGGACACGGGTGAAGACGGGGGCCGAGAGGATAGAGAGAGAGAGAGAGAGGGAGGAGACATACAGAAACACGTCTCGCCATTGTCGTATTGAGAAGAAAACGAGAGATCTTTTAGGTGCTGCCGAACAAGACGGGTCCGAAGCCGAGGTATATACACCCTTCCTTCCTTCCTTCCTTCCTCCCTAGATTTATAGGGAACTCGTCCTGGTGGATACACAGGATCATGAACCATGGAAGGCAAGATTCACACAACTTCCCAAAATGAAGATTCTGTGCTTCGTCCCTTGTAGTCAGCTCGGTTTTGCTATATGGTAAATCCAAGAAGCGATGTGGAGTCAACGACACTCAGAAAAAGAAACATTGTATGTGCTTGCAAATGCTTTTTTTACCCGGGTTTAAAAAGGATACGGAACGAGAGTGAATGTGGAAATTTTTGACCACAGTCGATCGCATTATCTGAATATTTCTTGCCAATGTGGTATCCTTCCATCTGGGACAAAATGTCAATGGATGAAAATCCCTTGATCCCTTCCATTTTCTTTCATTACTTACTGCTAATGTAACTACCCATACGTTACAAGGATATTCTCTCTGCAACTTTCTACTTTTTCCAGTATCAATTTGTTTGAATTTTTTTTATTTATATATATATTATATATTCTTTATTACAATAATATAAGGAAGTGCCTTGAATACTTCTTTTTCTCGTTTTGACAATTAGAGAAAGTCCACTCATCAATCTACGCATTGATTACTCTATATATATTGATTCCATATAATGATTATGATCCCATTCCTTTTTGTTTGATTACTTTTAGCTTTTGTAATTCTTTGTATATGAAAAAAGAGTGGCCACGACAACGAGAGTCGAGGAACAAAATGACTAAACTATTTTTTGGTTCTTTCACTAAGAAAATTTAAAATTTTGTTATCACGCTATACATGGATTACTCTCCACAAACTCCGGTTTTTGCAAGTTCAAAATTAATTTTCTTGTTCCGATTAGGTTTTAAATATTCGATTTACAATTTTAATCACGGAGATGACTAGGTTACTCCTTGGGGTACACACGTATGTGCTTTAAGCCATCTTGCTAGTACTATTGAATGCTATCGATTTTATGTACTAGTTGTTCCAATTTGGGAAATGAGTCTTATTCACATATATCTAGAGTTCCGTCTCATAGTGAAAAGGAAACAAAAAATGGAAAACTACATTACGCTGCTGCTTGATAAATAATGAAGTTGATTCATATCCAAATCATCATCATATTCGATCTAATTATGATGTAATTTCAAGACACTAAACATATAGAACTTGGATCCAGCTATTGCCAAAGCGATATCCCAACCCAAACGATGTCACCAATGCAATGGTTGAGGATGGTCAATGTGCATCAATGGCAGGCAGCAGTGGCAGGGAAAATTGTTTAGAAAGCTCTAAACCTATTACACTTTTGCCAATTTAGTCATAAACCTTTCAATTTTTCAATTGAGTCATAGACATTTTTAAGTTTTGCCAATTGAGTCAACCCGGCCAATTTTGGTCGAAAATCACTAACATGGACGCCGGCCATCCTACGTGGCATTGGTCGGTGCTAACGTGAATAATTTTTAATAATATTTTTCAAATTCTTTATAAAAAAATTTTAATATTTTCTTTTTCTTTTTTTTTTCCTTTTCTTCTTTTTTACCTTCCATCTTTTCATTTTTTTGTTTCGCACAATGGCCGGTGGGGCCGGCCAGAGCCTCGCCGGGCAATGGGCGAGGGTCATGAAACCCTTGCCGGCCACCGGCGAGGCCATTGCGGCCACAAGCAAGGCAGCCTTGCCCACAATCGCGCCCAAACTCTCAGATCTGGGCGAGGATCTCTTTCTTTTCATGGCTTTGTAGGTCAGAGGCCATTGCATCAGCAAAGGATCTTTCGGTACCGTCAGCCTCGACTTCAACCGGCGATTTGGTGAGGTTTTTGCGGCCAAATCCTTCGACATTTGTTCCTACCTTCCTCATCAAATCAGAGTCCTTGGAGAACGGGATTTGGGCGAGGGCCACGGCTCTTGCCAGCCACCATAAGAAATAAAAAATGAAAAGATGGAAGGAAAAATATAATTCAGGAAAATATTACTAACAATTATTCACGTCGACGCCAGCCATGTCATATAGAACGAGCGACATCCGCATCATCAATTTCCAACCAAAATTGACCAAATAGACTCGATTAACAAAACTCGAAAACTTTTAAGACTCAATTAACAAAATTGAATTGTTCAAGACTTTATTGATAAAATATAACTTTTTGGACAATTTTCTAACGGTGGTGGGACTGTCACCTACCGACGACCAAGATCACTTGAAACAACCACCACGAAAAACAGATACCGTAGAAAAGGATGACCGGGATACGAAATCCCAAATTAACACCAAAGATTTTATTAGCGTTTCACAGGACCATAGTAAATCCAAGAAAACCAATTGCTAACAGTATCACCATATGGTGTAGTCCAAGCATCACTCCACTAGAATGTAAAGAAAATGTCACATTCACAGATAATCTCATCACTTTATGATTAAGTTCACAAGAAGTTGGAAATGCAGCTGTGCAATAAAACTTTAAACAGTCGTTTTTCAGCGGGTTACTACCGAACCCAAGCAAAATCCCATGACCCCAAAATTATTTTGGAACCGTCTCATCTAACTAGATATGAATTAACGAGATATATGGGATAACATCTAATGGCTAAGTCACTAAAGTATTGCTGCAATTAAATGTCAAAAATAATGCTCGAACTCTAATGGCACACCCGATATAAGATAAAAGCAGAGTAGACATGGCTCAGTACTAAAAATTACAAACTCCTTAAAGAAAGGGTAGCCACCAGAAGCACGCAACTCTCCACAACGCAAGAGTTTGTCAAAAAGTTCGAAGAACAAAACCCACAACGCTTCTGGCAGCAAAACCCATCTTCTGCGAACAGTGAAGCCTTCGATATCACCAAGCAATCCTTTAAGATGGCACTGCACGACAGAAATTATACATAAAAGTCCTCATATTAGAAATTCTGACCCCAACAAAGCGTAATCATACAATATAATCTCATAAAGAGGAGACCGAATGCCACGCAAACGGACTTAATCTCAAGATGAAAGGAAAGAAGTCCATCAAAAGGGAAAACCTTACAAAACCTAGAAGTCTAAGCCAATCACATACACAGTAAGTCTGTAATCGTAGACTCGTTAAAATCAACGCAAGATGGCTTATCAGAAAACTAAAATGCAGAAATATTTAACCAAAAACCAGATGCTTTCAAGTATAAAGAGATGGTCCTTTTCAAAGAAAAGTTGAATGGGATAAGATAAAGTCGCAACACTTTCTATGTCCACAAATAAAACAGAGAATTAAAATGCAGAACAATTCTCTCGAATGCCATTTAAAAAACAGCCTGTCCTACAGTGTGAGACTGAGACACTGCTAAAATACAACATACAACACTAAAACCAGACAGTAATCATCAATTGACAAACCAAAGCTTTTATAAGTGAGTTTGGGAAAAAGAAAAAATAACTTACTATATGTAGAAGTATCAATCTGCTCAGGAAGCTCCTTTATGTCGACCTCAAATCGCGCTTGTACCTGAGACCACCCAACAAGTTTAAAATACATCCCTAAGGATCAAGATTATGAAAGACTAGGAACACCAAATCTACCTGATTGAGAATGTCAGAATCAGAGGCGGAGGAAACAAACGTGATTGCAAGTCCTTTAGTCCCAAACCTCCCAGCTCTACCAACCTGCCATTTAAGAGGGCCCAGAATATCATTTTATATGTACCCTGAAAATGTTCAAAAAATGGAACTTCACATTGAAAAAGTCACTATCATACCCTGTGCAGATAAGTATCAGCAGAATCTGGCATATCGTAGTTGATCACGATGTTGACGCGCTCAATGTCTATTCCCCGACCAACCAAGTCTGTAGCAACCAGGATTCTTTTATGCCCCTCCTTAAAGCCCTTGTAGCGTGTTAACCTACAACCATATTAAATTCAGCTTAAGGTCAATCACTCCATGGTACACCATGGTAAACACCAAAACTAACAGCATTCTCAACATCAAATGCCGAAAAAATACAGATGAAACTATTTGAAGGTTTTTTGCAACTGATACCAATATTCACTTTTGTAGTGCACATTCACAAAAACAACATAGGGGTAACATATGCAGATCAATGTGATATTGTGTATGCAGACTAAGCCAACAGATAAACCTAAAAGGAATCACATAACAGTGTTAGCAACAAGAAACAAAAAACTCAAGTCCGGCATGACATTTTTCTATCATCAGAAGATAGCACAAAAACACCAGTCAATGCTTGAACGTAAATCCTACCAAAAAAGCCATGTCTTGAAATCAACAGCAACAAGAATACCACCCCAACACAAGTGAAACTATTCATGCTAGAAAATGACAAATATAATTGACATTCTAGAAAGGAACATCAGCTACAATCCCTGAGATTAACTATGCATTAAACGTCATATACAGTCTTTGACCCACATATCAGACAACAGAAAGTAAGCAGTAACGATTGGGTCAAATGAAAATATCAAGGAGAAGGATATCTAAAGAGTTAAATCTGTTTGAAGGTCAATGGGTAAGAAGCCAAACCAGATTTCCTATAAGGGGAATTAAAGGAGCAGTCTGAGAGAGAGTCATAGATATGATGCTAATAAAACCCAAGTAGCTCATACATGCCATTCGAGTATACTTATAAGATATACAAATATGTTAGTCTTGCACTACCACAAGCAGAGTGATGGGTCTTTAACACAAATCCCACAAAAAGCTTCTATTTCACTTTATGACCAGCAGCTCCCAGCCCCTGCCATTTCTTCATCTTTGACCAATTTACCTTGAGGAAGTTTTCACTGTTTCTCATTCCCTTAAGATTGAGAATAAAACCTCCCAGCTAACATTCCTGATTGCCTCAATTACTTTTACATTGGATAGAAAAATTTTGAAATTCATATGCTGCTGATAAATTATATGGCCCCATAACATTACATTAAGCACAAAAAGTTTCCCACAAATGGTTAGACATTCCCTAAGCCTGAACTGTTATCACGGTGCAGAAACCTAATCAGACATTGCTCCTAATGCATCTCAGATTACATAAAAAATCAAGAGTGGAGATTTAAAATGCTACTAAGAATGTTAGAACTGCTGCGAGTTGGCTGTTGGCAAAGATAAAACTCGTCTAGCACCATTATGTCTCAGAAGGTAGCAAAATAAGGTGACGAGAAGTTTTAACAAGTCTTGAATAACACTGATAGAGCCACGTATCCCAGATGAGTTCTCATCTCGATCTGTTTTAGGACAATAAAATGTCGCAAATCGAAAAGATAAATAAAAACACCTCCACTCTATAAGCACCAAACCAGTAAATGAACAAGCTGGATCTCTTCCACAGGCACACAAAGTAAACAAGCATGCAACAATTGATGGCGCTCACCCAAAATCCTTCAATATAAAGCAGGGCCAAGATAAAATAGAAAAATAAAAACTGAGCACCCAGACAAAATTAAACAAGCGAACAAGAGCTAGTGAAAAGAAGCATTGCCATTACTAACCTTTCCTCCTGGGACATGCCAGAATGAATGCATATTGAGGGGAAGTTGCAGTCCACTAGTAACTTATTCAGTTCTGCAGCTCTATTCACACTCTTGACGAATATGACAACTTGATTGAAGTCCAATGCATCAAGTAGGTCATTCAATTTGCGATTTTTCTCCGCTTCGCTCAATTTGATGTAGTGCTGCATAGTTTTCCGAGTTAAAATATTACTTCACACGAAGCAAGACCGATTAAATGGGAAAAAAAAAAGGAATCAAATCATACCTGTACAAGACCATGAAGAGTCAACTTGGCCTCGTCGACATATATTTCCATTGGCTGAAAGGAACAAAGGTCATAGTAAAATAATATTAGATGCCTTCTCGAAGCTAACAGAATCCAGTAGCTAATGACTCATGGAAGCAGATCGCTTAGTCTTGCTTCATCTGGTGTCTCCTTGCTGGATTTTCGGAATGTGTACCACGCAAGTGCCAGAATCCTCAAATCCAACCTAGGAGGAGCCATCCCACAAGAGGCTGCAAAACTAACCCCAAGCTAGACAAACCCCTCTACGGGTGGAAAAAAGTTAAAAAGGTCATCTTGAGCTATGCACAGCCAAAGATGCAACAACTAAATAAAGCAAAACTAGTGCAGGTACGGACTGAACCGATCTTCAAGACCTTGACAATCGACTCATGTCACTACATGCATCTCAACATCCTCAACTTTCACCAACTCTTCCACCATCGAGCTGCGATTCCGACAAGATGATTTAATGAAATTATGTAACAGTGAGAGCAGACGACTGTGGCACCCAAATTGAATTATGACTCTTAAAACCCATGGAAGTAGCTCGGAAAACAGAAGAGAGACTTCTAAATTGAAGCGATAACTGGCCACGAGACATTACATCTTGCATAAACTTCTTGCAAACTGGACGGATCTCCTTGCTGAGTGTTGCTGAGAACATCATGACTTGCTTATCATGTGGGGTCATCTTGAATATCTCCTGCACATCTCTCCTCATGTCTGCAAAAAGCACATGAATAAGTAAGCCAAGAAAGCAAGGCCGGACAAAATACAAAGTAGACCAGCATACTAAGTTGGAGACGTAAAAGGACGAGAATCATACCAAGCGATTCAAGCATCTTGTCACACTCATCGAGTATGAAATGCCTGACATTCTTTAAAGAAAGGTCCTTATCTCTCGCTAGAGCAAGTATCCGGCCAGGAGTTCCAACAACAATATGGGGGCACTCGTTCTTCAATAGTTCTTTATGGATTTTGATATTCACGCCACCATAGAACACAGCAACCTTGATATCAGGTAGATATACACTGAACCTCTCAAACTCGTGGCATATCTATGGAGCAGATAAGCATTAAAAAACTTCAATGAGATGCCCACAAAATTTATAAAAGTAAACATTAAATCGATCTCAGAACTAGCAAGAACCTGATAAGCTAATTCCCTCGTATGACAGAGGACAAGTGCAGCAACTTGCCCTGCAACTGGCTCAATCTGCTGCAAAGTCGACAGGACAAAAACAGCAGTCTTTCCCATTCCGGATTTAGCTTGACAAATGACATCCATGCCCAAAATGGCTTGCGGAATACACTCATGTTGAACTGGTGAAGAACCAAAGAAAATTGGATGGAAGGAACCGTCGATAAGTAAAATTATAACCTCCCGGACCCTTTCAAATGAAAGGTTTATCAAACCAGGTTATTTCTCCAAAATCAAGAGAATGGCTTTAGTATGTTATATTACCTGAAAGAAAATAAGACCAAAATGAAAGTCATTAAAGCAGAATATTCACCGGAAATGCCAATAAAAAGTACGGCAATTCAAGAGGAAGAAGTTAAAATTGAAACAGCAATAGACAGAGATACCCTTTCAAAGTCTCATTCTATGTCCCTATTTTAGGTTGAAGCTTCTTACAAGCAAATTGACAGATCATTCTGTCGACTTTTTTTATATGGAATAATATACCTGAGATATAGCTCAAAAATCCCAAATCAAGGTCTCCTGTTCTGAATTCAAGGCCTCTTACAGGCAAATCGACAGATCATTTCGTCTAAAATCCAATGGTCATATCTTCGTTACTTCTTATGTCCTTGTTACTGTTTAAATGGCTATTCCGGTATTAAAATTAAAATTGCATACTAGTCAAATACTTAACTGGACCAAGACAACAGCCCCAGAAAACCATCTACTGCAATCAAAGCACATGACAGGAAAACACGCACCTTTACACATGGTTAAAGAAATATATTCAGATAAAAAAGAAGAGCAACAAATCATTTAAAACTTTGCCTTCAGAGGGATGTTCAAATCCAGAGTCAACAATAGCTCGAAGCAGCTCTGGCTTCAAGAGGAAGTCTCTGAACCCTGAACTGTGAATTCCCACGTATCCCCTGCACAAGGCGCCGCGAAAACCTAATCAGACACGCTCCCAAAAAGCCACATACCGACATATCAAACCAGAACGAACCCCAAATCATCTACTAGTACCACCACCGCCTCTCGACGAGCAACAGCAGCAGCAGCAACCGAACTAGAACGGACCCGAAAAAGGAAGAAAAAAAAACCCCAAAACCCAAAAAAACCAAACCTTTTAGCGGCCTCGCCGTTGGCCTTAGCGTTGACGGAGTCGGGGGCTTTGTCATCCTCTTCTTCGTAGTCGAGGAGCTCTTCTTCGTAGGCATCGTTGTCCCTAGCGTCCCCCATCTCTTCCTGCAAGGCAAACACGCACCAACTCCGCCCCCTCAGCAAAACGAAACCCAGCACGAAAAACCCCAGACAGCCGATGAACAGAAGTCGACAATTACGGAAGCTAGATGACCTAAGAAGAGCGAAGCGACAAACTAGGGTATCGCGGGAGGAAATGGTGAGGGAGGGGGAGCGCGGAAGTACCTCTGAGCTGGCGAGAAGAAGAGGAGCTTTAGGGTTAAGTATGCTCAAAGAGAGAGAGCGCGCGCGTCTGCAATGGAAAACAAGGTTAGCTGAAGCGGAAGAGCAAAACTCGGCGGCGGGCGGCGGAAACTCTCCGGTTCTCTGCGCAGCAGCAGAGGAAGTACGGAAGGAGACGACGACGACCTCGACGACGACGACGACGACGACGAAGGAGATCGGGAGGAGGAAGACGAAGAGGAAGAGGGAGGAAGGAGCTCGGAGGAGATCGATTAGGGTTTTCTCTCCGATTCGGATCTCGGAGCGGGTTCTATTTATAGGCCCGGGGGGGCACATTCGGGTTCCCATTTTGCCCCTGCCGCACGGGGGGGATTTTTGGCCCCAATCATCAATCTCATCGCATCGCGTCGCCATTGTCGTTGAAAATTCTACTCGGGCGAGCGATGTACCTTCTGAACTCCTCTTTTTTTTTGGGCCAATTTTAGGGCGAACCATCATAGATCCTATGATTGGTGCCGGGTCGTGTCGGTATTCGATTTTCAGTAACCTAATCTGCGATCGGGCACGCGCGAACCGTATCTAATTAGGGGCCGGTCCCCGCCGTTAGAAAACTTGCCGATGATGCCCGATGTCGGGGTCGCCTACGCTGCGGCGTCGGTATGCTCATCTGACTGGCCGTTGATGGCGAACGAGGGAAAAAGCAAATTTAGAAATCACAAACCAGAGGGAGGGGGGCAACGGCGGCGGCGGGTAGGGACGACGAGAAAATTAGAGCTATTTTTCGAAATTATATCGGGCGAGTAAAGGAGATTTCTATGAAATTCGTAATTGTCCCCCGATGTCTATTTCTTTACCTTCTTTAATTGTCTGAACAAGGAAATTGAGGCCATTTAATGTTCCTTCTCGCTGTACATAAACCAAACCTATGAGAAAGATAAGCACGAAAATTAAAGCTTCTATGAATATATACACCCTCGCTACATCGAAACTCATTGCCTATGGATAAAGGAAAACCGTTCCAACATGAAAAGACATTAAAAGTTAGAGCAAACATATACGGCGGCGGCGGCGGCGGCGGCGGCATGCCTAGCCTCTGACGAGGGTCACTGGACCCTTGTCGATGGTCTCATGCGTCGCCACTCCCCTCCCTCCTCCTTGCTCTAATTCTAGATTTTTAGTTTTTCCTTTCATTTCACAACAGTGCTTAGTTGGACGAAAATACGGACGTGGCATTGACGTGGATTATCAAGTCAACATTTTGTCAATTTTTTTTTATAATAGAAGTACCGATTTGAATAAATAAATCACTAGGATATCGACGTGGCAACGTAATTCTCAAGATAAACTGGCATGGACACCACATAAAGTTGGCATGGCACCAACCTAGTCCTAATATGACTTTCGAGATGAGATCGAGTCTCATTCTGAGAAACTGTACGCCATATAACTCTTCTATCAAGTCGCATGCGATCGGGCTAGTAGATCTCGACTTATTAGAGAGGCCCTTGAGCCTCATCCAAATTACGCATCCACATGTACACGATAAAGTTCGAAAATTTCGAGTTTGAGCTCCGCCTTAATAGAGCCGAGAACATTGATTTCGAGTTTGGGGACGTGGAATGCTTCACCAAGTCAAGCTAGAGAGCTAGAAATATCGGAATCATTTCGACGAAAACCCGCTAAAATTGGTAATTCGTTTTATGTATTCTTTAGACAATTAATAAGATCTTGAGAGATTTTCAAGATTCAATCTCCAATTTTCGTCAGATTGGGTCCACTTCCATGGTCATAATTAGTTTAAATGACCGATCTAAGAAGAGTGCTAAAATCTCTTCATGAAGTGACTCATTTGCTTATGGAGCAAAGAAGTGACCTCAGATTTAGGATGATACACATGGTAAACATGTTGCTCCCCCTTGGCCTCCACTAGCTCCACCTCCTTCACTCCTTGCCCCTTCAAGAACTCAGCATACATCACTCCCCTCTCCTTGAGAAAATCCAGCTCGGCCACGTGGACCGCCACCGCCGGGAACCGCCGCCACTCCTCGGCCGACATTCTCGCCATCTCGAAGTTGCACCCGGGATAGTCGCGGTCCGAGCCTTCCGGTATGCTCAGTTTCCAGAACAAGTCGTTCGTGCCGACAGTTTTGCCTCCTTTGTCTGCCGATTCCATCTCGGTCCTCCTCTCGCTGCCAAAGTACGGATGTATCGACATCAACCCTGTGATCGACACGGGGCAGGTGGCGTCCTGCAGCGCCCTGATCGCCACGTGGTGAGCTATGTTCGCCCCGGCGCTGTCTCCAGACAAAAACAGGCGGGAGAGGTCAGCACGCTCGAGCCAAGGGTCGGTGCCGCTGACGCGGCTTAGCCACTCCAGGGAGGCGTAACAGTCTTCATAGGCAATGGGAAGGCGATTCTCGGGCGCCAATCGGTAGTCCACCGAGAGGACAATGCACTGGGACACAAGACAGAGGTCCCCAAGAAAATGGTGGTAGCCCAGCCATGTTGTGGAGCCAATGCAGAAGCCGCCGCCGTGGAAATAGGCTAGGATGGGGAGGCGGGCCGAGGAAGTTGCGGGAGCATTGGGGATGAAAATTCTTGCAGTTATTGGTTTGGACGGGTCGATCATCACATCCTTTGAGAAATACTCTGCGGAAAAATCGGTCGAGGCAGGGGCGATTTCAGGCACAAAGCGCTCGACGGATCCATCGGACAAGACTTGAAGGAAACCGAGCACTTCTGCAACTATGGACATCTTGTTGGAAACGTTTGAACTGATCAACACGGCTTAGAAGATTCTGAGCATTCAGAAGAAAAATCAGAGGTACAAGAACTTGGAAGGAGGCTTGGGTTGACATATAGAGTGTCATTGTGGAAAAAGGTTGGAGCTTGTCACATGGAATTTGCTCCGAGGATTAGACTTGATATTTGGTGAGTCTCATGTCAGGTGTGAGTTGCTCCAGTTTCATGCATGAAGAGTGTGAGCGATGAGATCATGAAAAGAACATGGAGCACCAGATGCAAAGAGTTGAATGGCTATTACTATTACATTATAGGATCGATGCGAAGACGGTGATGCGACAAGAGGGGGGAAAAACTGCGGCAGGGCTACAGAAGCTTCATATGAGAACTCGATGCGGTCTCAACAGCAGCTATTAATCCCTATGAAAATCAACTTCGGTTCACAATGGCCATAAATTCTGCAACTTTTCAGACACTCGTGAAAAAAGTTGAAAACAAGGACTACAATATAGCATGGTCTTGCTGCACTGAAGAGCAAGCAAATCAAGAAAATGAAGAAGTGAGAGTCGCCAAAGATGAAACAAAAGATTTTGCTTAAATTCCACGCTAGAAGCCCGATGAGTTATTCTGCTTGCACAAAAATAATTTTAGAACAAGAAGAACCAACAGAGTTTTCCAGGGTTTGCTCACCCCTTACTCTGGAACAGAAGAAGTACAATCAGTATCGATATCAGGAAAAGGCGCATAATATGAAGCGAACGGGTCCTTCCAAATCACTTATTAGCTTGCGCCGTACCGCAATGGGTCGTTCTTCTAATCTTCACCCCTTTGATTATTATGCAGAGGCGGTAGTGAGAACTTGCTCACTGTTGAGCTTCCGCTCCGAATCTCCTCAAATACACGCAAAGCTGCTAAAGTGAGCTTCTTGTACATGCTCTCCATGTGCTCAATCTCAACGACTTCGCTGGGAACTCTAAGCAGGATATCATTCGGATCAGCCACAGTCTCATCGTCCTTCGCCTCGAAGTCTACCGTCTGGTGGTCGTTCTTGAACAGAAGCTGGTCGAGCATTCTTTCGCACTCCTTCACAAACTTTTTGAGCACATCCGTCCTGCAAAATGGCTGTTGCAGAACGTTCCGGATGAAAGGCAAGTAGATCAGCGCGCCGCTTCGCTTGTCGTACTTCTTTATTATCTTCACTAATCCTGCGGTTTGAAACACGATGTTAGGCAAGAAATCAAGGTAAGCACCGAAGCAGTCATCTTGAACTTTCAGGAAGTTTCTTTCAAGCGAAGCGAATGGCCGTTTTGATATTATGAGACGTATCCGCTTGATGGCCCCATACTAATGATCTAATTGGCATGCTTTTCGCTGCAACTAGCACATAACATGGTTTTCGAGTGATTCCGCAGAATCATGAAAGGTCACCAACAGTGCAGTTAGCCAATCACTATAGAAATTAATTACAATAGCACTTCCCAAATTCCAGTAATCCTCTTCCGTCCTTGGATTTCCTTATCAGATAAGCCAATGCTATTCTTTGATTAGGCTTTCCCAATCAAAGAACAAAGGAAGAACCCAAGCAAATCTTCCTGATAGGAAACATATATTCACCTCCAAGCACATGCACTATCATCTAGAACTCAAAATGATAATTAAAGTAATGTTACATTGTACTCGATCAGATTTCCAGATAACTAATTCGACACAAACCATGTTCCAGGTAACTATGGACTAATACAGCATGATTGCTAATTACAATTGGTCAAACAGTTTCTGCTTGAGAGAGAGATATACAGAACTCTGACGTTCATGCATCTGTATGCCTACATGTTTCTGTGGATGTACGCACTCAAAGGATATGGAGCCTCAATGACCAGAACTAGTTTACAAATTGTTACCTATGCAGTTCAGAGCGCTGTAATTCTGCAGCAAAACCATTTCGCCGTGGAAATCCACTATTTCTCTACGCACTTCCGTCAACTCGATGTCCATGCTCTTGGCCTTTGCTACCCGATCTTGCAATTCCTGCACTCCGGCGAGACCCGTGAGGAATGAGACTCAAGTTTCAAGTTAGAGTATCACAGTAGCAAAACCAAGCGATTGCTTTTAAATTAGCAGAAAAGTCGCAAAGACACCGAACAAAGACATCACACGTACACAAAAAAGTTGGAAAAGGAGAAATTATAACAAATAGCAGCGTCGTTTTAATGAAGTTGCTGGCTTTCAGAATTCTGGTCTTGGCTAAGGCATTTTATCAGTCCAAAGCTCCTTTTTTCGGTATCATCTACCGCACACAAGCGAAAGCTTGGTTTTGAAATAGGTTCTGTCCTCAAGAAACAGAAAGCAATTTATAAGGATGTGCAGGCCTGATTATAAAACTCCCAAAAAGATGTCTTCAGATATTTCCACTATGCTATTCCATGAGCATTGAAAAACATGAATACTAATCGATTTGATCGCGCCACACGTTATTCCGAAATTTACCATCCAGCTCGATCCTTTCGTCCTTCTAGCTTGACCGCCTGAGTAACTTGATCAAGCCCTCAATTGGTTAAGCACTTGCATGTTATGAAACCACTTTCACAGGGAGATGCTAGAAAACAGAACCATTTCATTCATTCATTGATTACCAGACTAATTTTTGGTTTTGGTCGAATTACCAGACTAATTCAATAAGCATAAATCACACACTCTGCCATCCACAGAAAACAAGCTATCATGTTTGTCAAATCTCATTCCTGGTGCACTAAGTTCAGTTGCCTCAAATCTCACCCACAGATTTTGAATTTGAAATCACAAAAAAAATGTAGGGAGATGAGAACCAAGCAAAGAAATGAGATTACCGCCCATCTAATTATAAGATCTTCCTCTTGGTCCATGAAGAACCCATTGATCTTGATGATCTGGCCACGCAACCGCTTCATGAAATTGACCACCTTCTCTGCCTCCGCGGCGCAATCCGCGCAGCCCTCCGCGGAGTCCAGGCGGCGGCGCTTGGCCAGGTGGCGCATCCCGCAATCTTTCGGGTAGATGAGCCTGAGCTGCTTCTTCAAGTCCTTGTAGGACAAGAACTGGTCGCGCCACTCGGGCTGCGCCTCGTCGATCAGCCTCTTCAGGATCTTCCAGAACTTCATCGTTATTGCAATGTGGCCTCTCCCCTCTCTGGGTTTTGAAGGAAGTGGGGAGAGAGAGAGGCCGAAAGGGAGAAGGGTGAGGATATTCGGCGCGTGTCGAGGAATATGGGAATAACCTGTGACGACGACGGACTGTTGCTTGGTTCTTCTTCTTCGTCTCCCTGGGAGATATCAATAGGATATATGATTGGACTGGCCTCGTTTACTTGTTAGGACATCCGGAGATGGCGACAACGTTGGGATTGAAAGTTCGTTTCCAAGAAGCGACGAACAGGAAGCGACGAACGTCGTTGTCTGTTACGCGCTTACGAGGAGGAAGACGAGACATGCTCAGAATCTTCTCTTGTATTCATTCCTTTTCCTTTTGTTCGTTTCCTCCGCTTGATTTGGTAACCTCCGACAACGAGACAAGAGGGAGTCATCAACTCTCGACACAATCGCCGCTGGTCCGAGATCGCGACTCGAACGCGGCGTGAGTTTACTTACCAAAATATTTGAAATTTAACACGACATGCAACCGAAGGCGATCAAATTCAAAAATGACACGACTCGACGCGTTTTGACGATCCATCGTTACACGTGGAAACATGATTTTGGCTCGAGCATGTATGATGAATGCTTCTTTTTTGTTCAAAGTGTGTATGATGAATATTAAACGAGTCAATATTAGGGGTGTAAACGGTTCGGTTCGGTTCGGTTTTCTTGAAAAACCGAACCGAACCGAACCGAACCATTAAGGGTGCCCTCTTGAACCGAACCAAAACCCCCTCGAACCGAATTGGAACCGAACCGAAAAATCAATTTGGTTCGGTTTAATTCGGTTTGGTTCGGATCAGTTTTCGGTTTCTTCTTTTTTTTTTTTTTTTTTGCTTTTTATTCATCGCCGCCTGGATCGCTCGCTCTCTCCCCTTCCTCTTTCTCCCTGACCAACTTCTCATTCTGCAACTTCAACTTCTCGTTCTGAACGGAAGCGGAGATCGCCGGTCGGTCACCATGTGCGCGGAGCCCGCGGAAAAGCCCTGTGGCGGTAAGCCCTCTTTCGAGTGAGCTGGTTCCGTGCATCTACAGCTCGTTCGAATCGTTCATGACCACCGGCGATTCCATCAAAGGTAAGGTCCAGAGGCTCTGCAGCTTGTTCGAATCCGCCAAGTCCCCGTCTCGGGGCCCTGATGAGACTCAGCGTATAGGAAGGAGCTGCAGGTTTTCGTCGCTCAAAGCCTCCCTCTCCATTTCGAGGCCATCCACCAGCTTGCCTAACCCACTCCCTCAGCCCCTCCACCTCCGCATCCCTTTGGTGAAGCAGAGGGAAGAAGAGACACAAAGGTAAATCAAGCGTCCCTCGATCCGGTACGAGCGCTGTTTCTCATCCTCTCGCACGAACTCGAGGAGAACCCATATTCGCCCGATCGGAGCTCCGACGGTCGTAGCTGTCGTACCACTTGTACGGCGTCGCCGGGTTCGACGACGACGACGACTTCCGCGAGTCCGACCTCGGGTACGAGCCCGACGATCCCGCGTCTCCGCCGTGGTTGGATCTGCTGAGGAACCCGCAGATGATGGCGAAGAGGACGAGGATGAGGTTGATAGTGTCCCAGCTCTTCTTGACGGAACGGGGCCGGAAGATCTGGGAAGTAAGGCTGAGGAAGACGAAGAGCCAGAGAGAGTAGCACCGGTCTGAAGAGCCTTTTAGGGTAAAAAGCAAAGGGTGTATTTTCAGTTCGGTTCGATCCGAACCGAACCGAAATAAACCGAACTGAAAGAAAAAGAATGGTTTTTTTTAGTGTCCGAACCGAAAACCGAACCGAACCGAAATGCACAAAATTTTTGGTTCGGTTCGGTTCGGTTCGTATCTCGGTTCGGTTTTTCGGTTCGGTTCTGACACCCCTAGTCAATATGGTGAGAAACGGGGCAGCTTCGGTTTGGCTTGATTGAATCCCCGGAAGTACCGGGCGAGAGTACGGTTGATCAAGGAAAGGAAGTGAAATGTAGGGTATGTTTGTTCGAGTGAAAGGATTTCTGCGTTTTTTGGACTTTCACGCGTTTGGTTTGCTGAAAATGATAAGTCAACGGAAAACCATTTACGGTCAAAGAAAATCTGCATGCCTAAAATAGACTTGTTAATATGAATTTTAAGCTCATTTATTAACCCAAACTTATTGGAATTAGTTGTATACGGGTCACTTCAAATTTGAAGAGCCTGGCCATAATGAATTCTAAAATTTAAAGGTTAAATAAATGGGTGTCTACAGTGAACCCATTTGCAACCCACTGAGGCTCGGACTGTCTTCTGTCTCTCTCCCTCTTTGCTCTTGCTTCGCTCATCGTCTTCTTGCTCGTGTCCCTTAGCCTCTCGTTCGACGCTTTGAGCTCTTCTATTCGCTTCACTGACTTGGCAATCTCAACGCTGTTGGAGCATATCGTGCCCTCGAACATCGGGACGAGGGATGCTGTTTGTCGTATGAGCTTGTGCTCGAGGAGCGACTCGCGCTTGCAGAGGTTCTCGATGCAGCAGAGGAGCTCGAACATGTCCGCGGGGTCGAGGTTGGACCTAGGCTGAGGAGCGCAGGAAGTAGGCTCCGAATGCCGCTTTCTTGGAGGAGCTCTTGGCCGAGCTCAACAATGGTGACGGCGACTGATCATTGAGGACCAGATCTTACGGTCGTTTGTGGCCATCTTCTCTTGTTCGATGTAGCTCTCAATCACACGATTATTCGTTATAAGGAAAGGCCATTCGTATGCGACACATGCACTTTCTCCCTTGCAATGGACGACGGCGAGGGTGACGTGCCATTTGTACGCGCTGGGGAGACTAGAGGAGATGTGGGGAAAGGATAGGCCAGAGTTAGCAGAAAGTTGCCGAGGGTGGCGGTGAGAAGTGGGAGTTCGTCGGGAGGGACACCTTCGCATACCTGACGTTCACTAGTACTTGCTGATGGAAATCAGCTGAATGGTTTTTGTTTATTTTGAATATATTATAAATTTGCTAACTGCTTAATTGGTATAATTATAGAAAATATGAGTTATGAGGGTGGGTTTGAGCTGGATTTGGGTTGGATTGAGGATGAGCCGTCTAAATTATTTTGAAACAAATGTGCCAAAACGAGTTAAATAGGTGAATTTGGGTTGAACCCATTTATGACCCATCCAAATCCTACTCGACCCACTTATTTGCCACCTCTAACTTGAAGTTAGGAAATGAATTTCCCTAAATCTGAAAAAAGAAAGACATTTTCTTGTAAAATGATTTTCTGAAAAGTATTTTCCTTTATCATGAAATTTTCTCGAGAACAAACACATCCTGAAAGCATTTCGGCATCCTAAAATTGTCAAACTTATTTTGGAATCACTTAAGTGCCACTTTTAAAAAAAAATAATCATTTAAGTGTCAACTTTAATTTGGGTCGATAGAAATAAGACGTTACTATATTTTATTAATTTCTCAAACCAACGTGGCTCACCTGCGCGCTCAATTAGCATATATTCTCCTAAACGATGTCGTCCAGATGTTTTGCCCCAAATATAAACTCTAAATTGGACAATCAAGCGTTTTCCCAAATTCGCCAAATATAAACCCTAATTCTCAAAAGTCACCAATTAGCTTAGGTCCTCTCGTTACAGTCAAGGGCATGGAGGAGGGTTCGGGTCTAGAGGATGTTGGCGGGGACGGACTGGGCGAGGGAAGACACGACCTTTGGGTTGGTCAAGTGAGGCATTTCATCAAACAAGTTGCGGGCGTCGTCAGGTGGGAGGTAAGGGCAAGAGTTGGGGTCGATTTGGTAGAGGGGGAAGGCGAGGAGCGAGTAGTTCCTCAAGTTTGGATCCATGGATTTGTGGGTTTGGGTTCGATTACGGAATTGAAGCAGAGGAGAGCAAATTTATAAGGGAAATATGGTCCATTCTGAAGATAGACTAGAGAGTTCAACAGAAGAAAGAAAACTGTGCGCGATGTTTGATCATACAGCTAGATGCCAAGTCTACGAGCTTCCAGAAATGAGAGAGGAGGAGGGCTCAGAGGTGGGAACAAGTGGGCGAATTGAGAAGCGAATTTGTGGAATTTATCTTATCACACGACTCACGAGCATGCTCATCGAAGAAGAAGAACCTAGTATCATCAGTCATCGTTCCTCCTGCAATTTCCACCGTCCCCCATCTCCAATCACCGTCAGCCGCCGTCAAATCTCCATCGCCGGCCATCTTGAGCGCTCATTGCAGCCAAAACAAAGCACAACAGAGCATACCCATGGATCCTCACGAAGGAATCCTCTCTCGAGAATTTTTTAAGTTCAATCGCCGACGATCCTTCTCCATCGCTCTCCCGATGTTGTCGCCACCGTCAATTGATGCCGTCCACTGCTTCCAAGTCTCGCCAGCCGTGCCTCTTTTCTCCCCTGTTTTTTTCTGATCAGAGCGTTCGAAGTTCCTCGCGCTCACTCGATCCTTCTTCGCCGGCACCAATCACCGGCCCTGATGTTTTGCTTCAAACCATGACATCTTTCAACCTAAGGTACTCAAGAACAAGGCTACCCTTCAAGCCACGATGTCTTTGCTTCAAAATTGTCGAACAAGGTTTGAATGAGAGAGAAGGAGAGAGAGAGAGAGAGAGATTAAATGGCTTTAGAGCGGCATCATTTTGTATTTAAAGGCCACCTCATCGTCTACGTGGACTTCTTTTTTTTTTTGTACGTGAAAAAGCCACCTAGGCATTAACATATAATTAAAAAAGACACGCAATACTTTTGATGGGAATTTTTCGCGGGAGGCACTTAAGTAATCGTTTTTTCTCTGATTTGGCATTTAAGTGAGCCGGCGAAATTTTTAAACACTAAAGTAAGCGTCGTACGAAACTTTTGACACATTTAGTATCCTTATGCCTAAAGTGAAGGTATAGTATGGATGGGTAACAGATGATGAAGGGAGCAAATGGGACATCGGACGACGTTGTGATCTATAAGGAAAAGAGATTAAGAGGTATTCCTGAGTCAATAGATGAGAATCGACATGACCGTCGCAAGCCAATCACACTTAGGTCGATTTTGGAGAAGTAAATTGAGGCAAGAGCGGTTATTGCAATCAAGCTCGTTAGGCCGGAGTGATAACTAAAAGAAGCTCGATTCTCATCAGTTGATAGCCGAGTCGATGGAGAAATGTTGGGATCGGCTAAAGAAATTTGACTGAAATCACTACAAGAAATCCGGCCTTTACCGATGAATTATCAGTGACAAAAGTCAAGTTCTTCCGTGGAAGTACCCTCAACCGGCGAAAATAGCTTCAGCTTTCAGCTACAAAACCATCTATTTGGTCGCCAAAAGTACTTTCTAGCGACGAAGTGAATCATTCGTTAGTAGATGTTGGGGATCTGGTGACGAAACTTG